GGAAAAGGACTGGCTTGGTCCACAAATTAAAGTTGTCAACTGCAGCAAGGCCAATTTTGGATCGTTTTGGCATGAACTTTCAACAGTTGGTTTGGCGAGGCTGTTTGCAGGTAAAAGGATAGCTGGCAAGTGGGAGGCTTTCAAAGGCGGGATAATAAGAGTTCAGGGGACATGATCCTGTTAGTGTGAAGGGCATGGCTGACAGGAGCAGGGAACACTGGATGACTAGGGATATCGAGGTTCTGGTCAAGAAAAAGGGAGGCGGCATATGTCAGTTATAGACACTTGGGATCAAGCAAATCCCTTGAAGAGTACAGGGGGCGTAGGAGTACACTTAAGAGGGAAATCAGGAAGATAAAAAGGGGACATGAGGTAGCTTTGGCAGATGAAGTTAAGGAGAATCCAAAGAGATTCTGCAACTGTATTAAGGGCAAAAGAGTAATTAAGGAGAGAATAAGGCCCCCTAAGGATCAACTAGGCCATCTATGTGTGGAACCACAAGAGATGGGGGAGATCATAAACAAATGTTTTGCATCAGTATTTATTGTGGAGAAAGACATGGAAGCGAGAGAACTAGGGGAAATAAACAGTGATGTCTTGAAAAGAGTCCACATTACAGAAAAGGAGGTGCTGGAGGCCTTAAAATGCATAAAGGTAGCAAAATCGTTGGGATCTGATCAAGTGCATCCCAGGACATTGTGGGAAGCTAGGGAAGACATTGCAGGGCCCCTATTAGGAATATTTATATCGTCGACAGCCATGGGTGAGGTGCCGAGAAACTGGACGGGGGGCTAATATTGTGTCATTATTTAAGAAAGGCTGCAAGGAAAAGCCAGAGAACCATGGACTGGTGAACATGACATCAGTGGTAGGTAAGTTGTTGTGAGGGGCTCTGAAAGACAGGATCTATGAGAATTTGGAAAGGCAACGACTGCTTAGGGATAATCAGCATGGCTTTGTGCATGGGAAGTTGTCTCTCACAAACCTCATCGAATTTTTTGAACAGGTGACCATGATGATAGATGAAGGCAGAGCAATAAATGTTGTCAGCAGGGACTTTAACAAGGACTTCAACAAAGTTCCGCATGGTAAACTGATGAATAAGGTTAGATCATTTGGGATCCAGGGAGAGCTAGCCAATTGGATACAAAATTGGCTTGATGGTAGGAGACACAGGATGGTGGTAGAGGGTTGTTGTTCAGAATGGAGACCTGTGACCCGCAGCGTGCTGCAAGGATTGGTGCTGGATCCATTGTTGTTCATTATTTATATAAACAATTTGGATGAGAATATAGTAGGCATGGCTGGTAAGTTTGCAGATAACACCAAAATTAGTGGTATAGTGGAGAGTGAATAAGGTTATTTAAGAGTACAAACGGGATCTTAATCAATTGGGCCAATAGGCTGAGGATTGGCAGGTGGAGTTTACTTTAGATAAATGTGAGTAGAGTATTAACAAATTGTGACCAGGGGACCAGAGAGAATAAGATGTGCTGTACGGAGGCAGATGAAGGAAAACTGCCAAATTGATGGTCATCTCTCAATGGAACTTTCACAATAACTCTAAACAATTTCTGTGTCAGACAAACATCACAACCCAGCTGTCCAACAAATCCTCATCTGGCTTTATAAAATTTTAATGGGAAATTAGATGCGTTCCAACACTAACAAATCAACTGTTGTAAGTGAAGTTTTTGTTTCAGTGGTACCACCGAAAGCACTCTAACACTATACTCATCTTCTGGATATGACTTCATAGAATCATACAACACTGGAAGCCAATCAGCCCTGTGAACCTTCGCCACCATTTTAAAAGAGCTTTGCAATTAATCCCACTCCACTACTCTTGCCCCCTCAGTCCTGCAAATATTTATCAAATTCTCTCTTGAAAGCCTCTATCACCCTCTCTGGCAGTGTGCGCCTAGTAACACTCTGCTAAATATGTGTTGTGCTCTCCATTAGGCATCCTTATGTTCGTATTCTATGCCTTTATTTGTAAAGCCAAAGATCCAATATATCTTCTCAAAATTCTTCTTGCTTGTCCGGTCAAAAACTCATGCACATAAAACTGGAAAATTCTCTGGTTTTCTCTACTTTAAAATTGTACCATTTAGTTTACATTGCCTCTCAGCATTCTTCCTGCAAAAATGAATCGCATCGAATTTCTCTTTATCACCTTTCACCTGCAACTGGTTTGACAAAACACCTCCGACCGAGCTCAATGCTCTCCACCATTCAATGCTGCTCACAATAGCATAAACAATGCTTTAGCAAGAGCTTTCCATGGAATTTTTACATAAATACTCAATGAATACTTCTTTTACCTTTTTAAAAAACCCTGAACTCCTCTTTGAAAGGTAACACAACCACCTTGTTAGGATAACTCAAAAAGCTAGTACTACTTTTGTTAGAAGTTGACAGACAATATGTGAACATCTCAGCTTTATCCTTTATATACTTGCTACTGTACATTTCCCTCCCATGTGAACAAGAAACAACCGTACTCACTCTCTCTTTGACAGGGGTTCTCGTTGATATTCTGCTAATACAAATGGCGCTAAAAAAACTGCTCTACATAATAGGATTTCCTCATTTCACATGTCTGAAATCAAGTTACCAGACATTCACTCATACATAACATACAAAAGCATATTCAATTCATTTTTGTCATGATCACTTGTAACCAGGTTAATCAAACACTGGAAACACAATAAGAAAAATATGATAAGCCAGGCTAAAGCCAGTTTAAGAAACAAATTGAAGGAAGTACCAATGATTCAGTGGAGAAAATAATTCAAGATAGATGGATATTATTATTGCATTTTGAAAACTTCGGTATAGTTAGACGTAAAAGCAATAATCCCACATACAAGGAGGAATCTGGCTTAAGAACACCCTAAAAAATTCTCCATACCCTTCATTCTTTATTTTACATATTAAAACAAAATTTAAAGAACTACTCACTCTTGACTGCCCTCCCAATCAGACACAACGTTTCTGTGTCATGTCTATGTTGATGTAAACTTGGAGCACGGAGACAAAACATCTCTGGACCCAACTCAATGCTCTCCATCATTCAATGCTGCTCACAACAACAAAAACAATGTCTCAGCGAGAGCTTTCTATGGGATTTTTACATGAATACTTAATGAATATTTCTTTTACCTTTCCCCCCACCAAACTCCTCTTCGAAAGGTATCACCACCTTGTTGGGATAGCTCAAAAAGTTAGCATTACTCGTGTTAGAAGTTGACAGACAATGGCAGGGGGCATAACTTTTGGCATCGACCCAATAAGCTGAATGACCTCCTTTGCACCAAAAATGGCTTGGTTTATTATTTATATGATTGATATGCACATTTCCAACACGACTCTTTAGATACAAAGGAGGTCAGGAACAACTTTCCTTTATCTCACCCAGGGGTACTGAAGCTTTTTATAGCAATATCCCTCCTGACTAAGCTGACAAAATCTAACTTAACACAGATTGTGGTCTGCATGACATAGTAACCAAATGAATTAAATAACTGAACTATATTTTTATTCATACTTACATTCAAATTCATCCCATCTGTTCTGCCGATCAAGCTAGTACGGTGGCAGAATGAACACAGTCATAATCAAAATCAAAACCACCAGTAATGGTGGTTAGATGCACTAAAATTAAAAGCACTTTGAAAAATAATGTATTCAATACAGGATAGAACCAGAATCTAAGCTTATGGCACACTTTGCAACAGCACATACCTTAGCAATAAACAAATCTCATTCAGGACTCTCATCCAGATTTCACTGGTCATTCACAGATACAAAACTGATTTGCTGCTCTGTACTGCCACTCATCATTGATGCAATTGAGGATTAAAAAATTCAGAGCAGATCATAAAATTGATCTTGTGCCACAATGTCCATGTTAACAACCTCATGCCACCAAGTTTGTACTGTTGGCTATTCTCAGTAACAAAATGCCATGGCTAAGATATTTGTTTTACAAACGATGTGATTGAAAACTAACAATTTTCCATTATGCTTATGTTGTGACCCAGATATTCCTGCAGGGGACACAATTAGTTTCTTCTTCTCCACAGTCTAAAGTCCCTTGTAGATATAGATATATACTAATGCACTGACTTACCTGATTATGATCCAAGATCTATCCCATTTGTGTTGCAATTGCTTAAAATTATATAGTTTATACTATTACCAAATTTATCTAAGCTAGAGAGCAATTCTACACAGAAAGCAGAGTTCCCTAAGAAAATTAGTCACTTTGTCATTGGGATTATTAGTAAAGTTCTATTCCATCGCAATTTGTAAGAGAAACAATTAAAACCCTCACTCTTCCATTCCCCAAACTATTTCACACATCTTGCATCCAAATGAAACTTTCAGCATGTTAAGCATTAAATAAAATGGTCTACCTTCCAAGTAAAAAGCATTAGAATGGTACTACTACAAATGTAATCAATGTAATTTAAATGCCCATTTACAAAATCAAAGTCTATTTTTAACAATGACCCTATTTCATAAAAACTTCAATTATGAGAAGTTAAAAAGCTGTCACTTTATAAAATGTTCAGGGAGGCTGAGGCCCATAGGAACACGATGTCATTCCTCAAAGCAGGGGGAGGAGGGATGGTGGTTGTGTAGGAAACAGAACTTGCTACATGTTAATGGAGATGAAAATATAACAGCAGTTTCAGGGGAAACCATGACAAGAACATGATCTTTCAAAAAAGTGGTTTAATCAGTTTTTTTTTTCAATTCCAGATTTCATGTTCTATTTGTAGAACAGAAAACCAAAACTGAGTGGCTAGGCTGCTATAACTACTAATACTTAATAAAAAAATCATAAAACAATATATAAAGTAAGAATTTTTATTTTGTTTCTAAAGCAACCACCTAAAAGCAAGAGGATGTTAAGTAGAAATACACTGGCCACCCAGGCTTCGCTCTTTCATGGATTTTTAATCACTGTTGTAAAGAAGTTTCGTAAATACCTGGAATCTCTGCACTAATCGTCCTCTTGCCATTTCCTGAGACCTCATCCTCTGATGAACTTGTGCTGGAGTCACACGTCAAGTCACTATCACTTGTACTGCTGTCCTGCAGCAACGTGTACTTTTTCCTAGCTGCTGCTTCACGTTTCTGCCGTAGTAGTCGTATCCGTTCCTTTTGTTTCTGGGTTCTAACCTTTGACACACGGCCATTTTGTTTGTCATTTGATGAGCGATTCTTTTTAGGAGCCATGGTTGACGTTTCACTCTCAGACCTGGATCGCCGTGATTTCCGGCCGACCGCAGGACCAGATCCACCCGAAGGATCCTCATCCACAGCCACATTTGCCCGAGGTGCCTCATTCTCCTCTACGGATGAAAGTGTGTCAGAATCTGCCAAATGACCACTGGAAGAAGGAGAAACCATGCACTGATTTGAAGAGTCGCTATCATAGGTTCGGCCAGTTGTTTGTTTATCACCGTCTGCAGATGGAAGCTGGGATTCGGAAGAGTCTTGCCCAAGTTCCATCAACAAACAAGGTTCAGCAGAGCCCACACTTAGTTTTGGTGGACAGTTACGGTCCTCTTTTCTCAATTTAGCAGCTGAGGTCTCTTTCTGAAATGACCCAACACCATCTTTGTTGGTGTCATCAATTTTTGTCTCAATACCTTTTGCTGAAGCATCAGTTTCCTCAAGACCATCCTGGGATGAGAAGTTTGCCTTCTCTGCTGCTTCCATCTTCATGTCACTTAGTTCAAATACTCTCTATCAAATACCATAGGGCACAGAGAGTAACAGAACTAAGATTTAAAGAAACCAGGGAAACCTATAGAGAACAAAGAATTCATAGATCAGGTTAAAAAAGTGTAAAAAGATAATTCTTCATTAAATAAATTTGTTTTCACTTGTACATATCATTGTACATATAACTCTGGCAGAGGTTAACTCAGTTGCCTGGACAGCTGGTTTGCAATGAAGAGTGACTCCAACAGTGCGATTCAATTCCCACATTGGCTGAGGTTACCATGAAGGACTTTCTTTATCAACCTCTTCCCTCACCTGAGGCATGGTGACCCTCAGGTTAAACCACCACCATGTGCCTCTCTAATGAGAGCGCAGCTGTATGGTCTGGTAGGGCTACGGCAACTTCACCTTTATCTTAGTCCTGACAGAACATTATTTAACCTGACAATAGAGAAAATCCATCATCTTGTTTAAAAAACACCACATCAGAACAGATGAAAAGAAATCACAGGTTTGACATACTAACACACTATTTCTCTCTATACAGATACTGTTAGACCTGATAAGTGTTTTCAGCATAATCTGTTTTCCATAATTCATAACACCTTCCTCTTGTTTGATAGAGAGCCTTTATCTCTATAGCCACATACTCAGACGTGAACTACTTTTGTACTAGTTTTTTAAATCTGCATTCCAGAACCCTGCCTCTCAACACTGGCACTGTTAAATCAATTTTTCTCTTTATTTCCTGCAAAAGACTTGTAGTTTCAATTTTATCTGGATGGAGATTTTTGCTAACCTGCTCGTAAGTGTTTAAAAATGTGAACCAATCATATATGCCCAGATGTGTAATTTTGTTCAGTGACCACTTTATCCAGTTTCCTCCCACAGTCCAAAGACCTGCAGGTTAGGTGGACTGACCATGCTAAATTGCCTATAGTGTCCATGGACGTGCAGGCTAGGTGGCTTAGCCATGGAAAATGCAAGGGAACAGGGATGAGGTGGGTCTGGGTGGAATGCTCTTCAGAGTGTCGATGTGGATTTGATAGGCCAAATGGCCTGTTTCCACACAGTAGGGATTCTATGATTCTATGAACACTATTTAAAACCGTACCCATTTTTGGTGGTGGTGGTTGGAGAGTGGAATGGAAAAAAGCAAATTGAAGAAATGCTTAAAGTTTAAGTGCAAGTCTCGATTAAACCCCTTGTTAGTGATAAAATATATCTATTCTGGGTATAACAGAATATTGAAGAGGAGGAGAGATCAACTAAGGGGAGATGCGCAATATTTCTAACCTTTCACCTTTTAAATCAATGTTTTTGACAGAGGGTATTCAGTGTAAAAGAATGCTTGGTCAAGGCCTTTTAAAAGTCTTCTTCACAATTAATTGTCTCTAAATAAGTCTGTCATAAAGCTGCAGAAAGTCTGAATTTCAACAGCTCAACATCGAAATCAGAGATTTCATTCATAATCCCTTCAAAACTGAGGAAGATTTTCTCAGCAGGTGACTAAATATTTTATACAAAACAAAGAGCAAGCAGCATCAGCATTAAGTTCACCGCTGACACAAGTTTAGCAGTTTCTTATTATTCCTTCAGTTCAAATTCTTCCAAATTTGGTTCAACTTGTCAGATTTTTATTCATTTCTGGGTGCGGGTGTGCTGGCAAGCCAACAATTCTCAACAATACTTATTTGCCCTGAGGTATTCATGGGGTTGTCTTCCTGAACCGCGCTCTTTTGAGGCCAGTGAAAAGTTAACTGTGCTGATGTGGGACAGGATTAGCCTGATTACAACAACAGGTTTCCTTCCCTAAAAGGCATTGGCGAACTACCTTGGTCTTTTAAGACAATCTGACGGCTTCACAGTTACTTTTACTAATACCAACTTTATATTTCCAGATTTTAAAAAAAACAAATTCTCAAACTACTATCATGAGACATGAAATCACACTAGATTACAGATCAGTAACATAACCACTGCACTATCAAACCAAGTCACAAGTTCCCATAATCCTTTCAACAGTACTGAAGGTGGTGATGGCAGCTTATCGCTAGCTGAGTTTGCCGACACCAACGCACATGTTGCTTGTGCTGCTTTAAATCATATGTGCACAGTTTTCAGTGAGACATGGCCAGAGTGTCAGGGGAAAGAGATCAGGACTGGGTTTGGGGGAAGCCAGGAGACAAGCAGAGCAAAGGTACAGTGGAAAAGAAAGACAGGGGGAGCACAGAAGGGAGACAAAGGCAACAGGGCCTCCTGCCTTCTGCACTTCAGTTCACCATTAATATCCACATCCTCCAGGTTCTGGAATCTTTGAATGCCTACAATGCGGAGAGAGGCCATTCGGCCCATCACGTCTTCTGACCCTCTGAAGAACATCTCCCCCCAAACCCAGCCCCATACCTTAACCCCTCTTTTACAGTGGTTAATCCCCATAGCCTGCACATCCCTGAACACTACGGACAATTTGAATCATAGAATCCCAACAGTGTGGAAACAGGTCATTTGGCCCAACAAGTCCACATCGCCCCTCCAAACAGCATCCCACCCTGACTCATTCACCTACTCCTGCAGTTCCCCATGTCTGACCCACCTAACCTAAACATCTGTTGACACTATGGGTAATTTAACAAGCCAATCCACCTAACCTGCACATCTTTGGACTGTGGGAGGAAACCGGAGAACCCAGCAGAAACCCATGCAGACACAGGGAGAATGTGCAAACTCCACACAGACAGTCACCCAAGGGTGAAATCAAACCCAGGTCCCTGGCACTGTGAGGTAGCAGTGCTAACCACTGAGCCACTGTGCCGCGCTTCTGGATCCTCTTCCCTTCTGACTCTGGGGTTTCACTGTCCAGCTCACCCTCTCTCCACCAGTGAAGATCAGTTCAAAATTGCAGAGTCTGTGTGATGATGTCAGTGTTCAGAAACACACATTCCCCAATGAACACGTATGTGCACTTACCCACAGTTGTTGGCGTCAGCAAACACTGATTACTACTAGACTATTAATCTAGAGGTCCAGATAATGTTCTGGGGACTCGCCATAGCAGATGGCAGAATTTTAATTCCAGACGTTTGTTGAATTCAGAGTGCAATGAAACCGCAAAACCATTGTTGATTGTCAGAAAAATCCACCTAGTTCACTAATATCCTTTAGGGAAAGAAACTGCTATTTTATCTGGTCTGGCTGACACGTGACTCCAGACCACAATAATGTGGATTACGTTTAACTGCCCTTTGGGCAATTACAAATGGGCAATAAATGCTAGCCTAGCCAATGACACCCACCGCTCAGCACTACTGTACATTATATATGTAGCCAAGGTAAATAACTTACCTTGGAGTCTAACAGAAAAACTTTAAAAAATTGACAAAAGCGCAAGAGCTCAAAACCCAGAACTTACTCCAGTTAGCTGAAATGAACAAAAACCTACCCAGCAGAATGAATCATACAGCAGACCTTGAGGTACTGCTCAAGATTATTCTCATTTTGAGTTCGAGCGAGATAAGAATACAGGAACCATGGTCCAGAACCCTAGAAAAGAGACAATGTTATTTGAGTGAGGTAAACCATCCTACAGTTCAAATAATGGAATGATATAAAGCTCATGGCAGAAATTTGTATTGTTAATTGAAAACTGCTAAATATGCAGAATTTAAAAAAAAACTCCCCTAACCATCGATTATTTTCCCACTCCCCTGAAGGCCATGACTGCTGAAATGAACTTGTTCACTGGGGCATGAGAGCTCAAACACTTAGTGTCAGACTATAACAGCTTATGGGGCATTACTAGCCCTGTATCCACTGAAAAAGTTATAGTAACGCACTTTCCACAGCAATCAATGCAAAATGTTCAAAAGCAGGAAATATTGCTGATTTCTATCTCTAATGCTGCTTGCTAAGTTAAATATAATTCTAACAAAATTCAGTAATTTGCGGATTTGAAGAGGAAACTTTAGACAGGACTACTTCAAAAAAATTCTTAGACATATTTTAAATTACGAGTGTTACTGGATTTTGAGATTGCACATGTAGCTACAAATTTTCCATCTACTGCAAACCTTTTACTCACCAGCACCTTTGGCTTTAAATAAAACTTACCTGCAGAGAGCCTTCTCACTCGCACCCTAAACTGGACTATTCTGACATCGCAGAGATTGCAATAATACAGTAAACTTCCAGTATTTCAGGTATACAATTTTTGCCAGTTTATCAAAAGAGCCGGCTCATAAGGTGCCAGTTAAAACAAGGTTTGCTGTCGACGTAGGACAATAGAGTCATGGAGTCACAGCATGGAAACAGACCCTTTAGTCCAAGCAGTGCATGCTGGCCATGATCCCAAACTAAATTAGTCCCAACAAACCGAGGCATATAAGTAACAAGCGGGACAGAACATTGACACTTCACCAGAGGTGCACTGACGATGTTACCTAGCAGGTGACGAAATGTTTGTAACCAAACCCACTGGCGCGGCAAGCATATCTACAACCTAGTCTCACCTGCCTGCACTTGGCCCATATCCCTCCAAAGCTTTCCTATTCATGAACTTAACCAAATGGCTTTTAAACACCATAACTGGACTTCCTCCAGCAGTTCATTCCATATGCGAATCTGTGTAAAAAAAGCTGCCCCTCCTGTCCCTTTTAAATCTTTCTCTTCTCACCTTAAAAATATGACCCCTAATATTGAAACCCCCATCCTAGGGAAAAGACACCCACCATTAACCCTACCCCTACCACTCATGATTTTAAAAATCTCTGTAAGGTTACCCCTCAACCTCCTACATTCCAGTGAAAAAGAAGTCCCAGTCTATCCAGCCTGTCCCTATAACTCAAATCTTCCATTCCCAGCAAGTCCTGGTAAATCTTTTCTAAACCCTCTCCAGCTTGATAATATCTTTTAGGGTGACCAGAACCGGACTCTAGAAGGGGCCTCAACATCTGTACGATCTCAACATGATTTCCCAACTCCAGTAGTGAAAGACTGAGCAATGAAGGCAAACGTGCTAAACATCTTCTTAACCACCTTGTCTACATGTGACGCAAACTTCAAAGAATTACGTACCTGAACCCCTAGATCTCTGTTCTACAACACTGCCCAAGGCCCTACTTTTAATTGTCTAAATCCTGCCCTTCTGTGTTTTACCAAAATGCAATAATGTTTGACCTTTAAATCTTACATGTTCCATATAATATGCAGATTAGCGGTAATTTCTCTTCTCAGAGAGTCATGAATGTTTAGAATTCAGGCTGCGAAGGGAGCTGTGAAAGTTTGTCATGGAATATATTCACTGCTGAGACTGATAGATTTAAGTCGATGAGGCACAAGCATGAAAGTTGAGTTGAAGTCAAGATCAAATTATCAATCATCTCATTGAATAAAGGATCAGGCTCAAGGAATCTACTCATATGAACAAGGAGCACAAGTAGGCCATTAAGCCCCACAAGCTCCCATTCTGATTGATCGGGTGATCTGATTGTTAACTTAAATCCGCACTCCCACTTACACAGATAGCCTTTCAACCCCTTACTTAACAAGAATCCATCTACATCTACCTCATAAACATTCAAAGACTCTCTTCCTAACAAGAGGACGGAAACAGAATTTGAAAGTTTCATAAGCCTCAGCCAAAAAAAATTAATCTCAATTGTTTTAAATGGGCTTTCCCTAATTTTTAAACAGTAACTCCAGTTCCAATTTCCTAGAACTAATTTGCAATTGGATCAGACAGGACTCCTCACAAATTCATAACCTGAATAGAATCATTTCAAATGTTTGTCAAAAATACCCAGAAGATTTAATACTGCAGTTCTACCTCGATGATTCCAAAGAGCACCTATACTTTACAGTCACATACAACCAGAATATATGCTGTGGGTGTGCAATGCAAGATAGAATAATCCTAAGCATGTCAGCACAGGATGTTAAATCCAAAGATGTACTCATTCTGCCATGATTTGCAGTTAATTTGGAGAGATTGAACAACCATGTCCAAAGAAAAAGCAGAATAAATGTTAGTACGATAGCAAATTGTGGGTCTCCAATTTGGATTTGCAACAAGAGAGCGCAATATGATTTTTACTCAAACACAAGAGAAATGTAGAGGAAAGTACATAGACTTCCATACTTGTGATTTAACTGACTAAAGTACGTGACAGATGCTCAGTAGAATTGCATTTTGAAAATCCTTGTCTAAAATTTGATTGTTTGAAAAATGTACACTGATACATGATTCACCAACAGCATGCCAGATGGCACTTAACATTTTGAATGGGGTGATGCAAGGATAAGAGCAAAGGTCTAAATGCAGACTCAGGCATACAATTTCAAATACCTGTTTCAGTAAACTTTCTACACATTTTTGTAAAGTCTGGGAGCAATTCATTAACAGACTTCTTATCTGACAATGACGAGTAATTTGAAATACACATTCAGGAAGTGGCTATGAATAAATTTGCCTGTATCATGAAGAGTTATGACTCATTCTCAACTCAACAGAAAGTGGTAAGACATCAAATACCACTCAGTAAAGATCATATGAAATACTGAACTTGTTGTTCACTTATTTGGAAATATTATCAATGAATAAGCAGTGTTCAAAAGCCAAATTTTTATCACATCAAAAGTGAGTTGCTAACAGGCTAGCAGTGCAGTATGGTATCAAGTCACACACTAAATTTAAAATCTATCATGTTGTAAGTTAAGGAGCAGCCCAGTTGTAATGTAATTCAGAGTCCCCGGGTAATGCCCTTGGGTTATGGGCTCAAATTCCAACAAGGTAGTTGGAATAGTAAACTTGCATTTAAAACCGCAAGAGTAAAAGCTGCTCTCTCTAGGGAGAGAGACACAACCGGATGAGTGTTTAACCTGAAAGTCACCATGCCCCAAGTCAGGAGCAATGTTGAGAAGGTGGGACCTTAATGGCACTCTTAGCCGGTGTGGGAAGTGAACCTGCGCTACTGGCATCATTCTGCACCACAAACCAATCATTCAGCCAACTGAGCTAACCAACCCCCAGAAGGTAGTATACTGGTGACTGTAAGGCCATCACCGATTGTTTTAAAAACTTACCTGGTTCACTAATGCCCTTTAGGGAAGAAATCAGCCATCCCTACTAGGTCTGGCCCAAACATGACTCCAGACCCACAGCAATGTGGCTAACTTTTAAGTGAACTGGCTCACCAAGTCACAAAAAAGCTTAAAGCTGACAATTACCATTGTCCAGAACTGAACTGGAGTAGCAATATAAATATTGTGTCTACAAGAGCAAGTCAGACTGGGAATTCTGTGTTAAGTAACACACTCCTGATTCTCCAAAGTTAGACTCATCTGCAATGCATAAGTCAGGAATATGACAGAATAGTCTCCACTTGCATGCGTGGGTGCAGCTTCAACAACAAAGAACTTAATATCATCCAGGAAAAACAGCCACTTGGCTAGCATCCCAAGCACCACATCTGACACCAACATAAGGCGGCAGTAGTGTGTATTACCTACGAGATGCATTACAGCAACTCACCATGACACCAGGAAAAGGGCAGCAGATGCCTAGGAATACTACCACCTAAAAAGTTCTCCAGGCCACAAATCATCCTGATTTGGTTATACCTCACTGTCACTGGCTCAAACTCCGGCTCTCTCTTTCCAACAGCATCGAGTGGACCTACACCCCATGGACTGCAGCTGTTCAAGGAGGTAGCTCACCATCATCTTCTCCAGCAACTACAGAAAGGCAATAAATGCTGGTCTAGCTGATGACACTCTCTCATGAATGAATAAGTAAATTTTTTAAGTGTGAGATTCTCAGTTTGTTCAATAACTGTTTTTTCCACAGTGATACAAGTTTCACCCATATCATGTCATACATTATGCACATCAACCGGCAAGACCAAGTAACCAAATGGGAGAAGCTAAAATTTGCAAAATCAAAGCTCTAAACATTCAACTGACAGATCAGCTTGTTAGATGATAAGTGGCTCATGTTCAAGTCCCACCTGCTTCACAGTTGTGGAATAAATATCTTTGAACAGGTTGATTTGAAAATATCTAGACAGACCTTCCACCCTGCAGCTTGACGCTGTAGTACTGAGATGCTCATAAAGGCTATGAAATTATTTCTAAATTGGAAACAAGCAATATCAATAAAAAAAAGCATCTTCAAAGTGAAAATCATAAGGCACTTAACAAGCATAATCAAGTAGTAATGGACTCAGTTTAATATTCAGAATTTCAAAGGTTTGGCCAAACAGCCAAAGTTTTAAGGAGATATTTTAAAGAAGAGGGCACAAGAGATACTTTGCAAGGCAATCCCAGAGTGTAAGCCTAAATGGCTAAAAGGCATTGTCAACAACAATGGGAGAAGGGAGCAGGGATGCACAAGAAGCCTAAGCCAGAAGACTGCAGTGTGGGGTTGAATAGTTGGAGAAAGTTACAGAGATAGGGAGGAGTGAAGCCAGAAAACGATGAAATATTTTAGGTATCGGGAGATCAAGAAGAAGTGCATGCCAGAGAGCACAGATCAGATAAAAAGGCAA